TGTTAAGATCGTGATTATCCACATCATCCATAGCAATCCTTCAGCCTATTGCTACGTTAGTTAACTAGTTAGTTAACTAACTAGTTAACTAGTTAGTTAACTACGTTAGTTAACATGTAGTCACCACCCTGTGTGCCTCCAACAACGTGTGCCTCACCCAAAGTGTTTCCGCATGTACACCGCACTGTGTCACCCCCATGCCTGCCGCTCGTCTCACGCTAAGCGCGCCAAACTCGCCCATGTGAGCTAGACCCTCCTTATCTTCATCCCACACACTCCATGTGGGCACCTCCATCGCTGCACCATGTGGTCACGCATGACCCCACATTCGAAAATTGCTGAGTTTGATCGAGTGAAAGAAGGCCAGTCTATGGCCTCTATGTACTATACTATGGTGAGTACTCTAAATTTATCTCTGTATTTGTGTTTTGTGCATTAAATTCCTAGTGTTGATCTGCATCAACCTAACGACCGAACGTTGCCTCATTATCACCTGACACGGGTGAGAGAGGCGTAGTTGAGGAAACGCATGTTAACGTGACAATTAAAGTACGTCTGAGTCATTACTGTAAATTCGTCTCTGGTTGTGTATGATTACACATATTTACACATTTAATTTAGGATGTGTGGTGTTGTGGTACGGACCAATATTACACCAATCACTGTCTTTAGATTCCCATGTATATGCTTTGTTATCGTTTCAGAAGAACACCAGTGAGCCTGACAAGGCAGACGTTCGGCTGGGGCTGCCAGTTGTTGCCTGACGCAGCGAGGTGGTAGTTGGGTGTTGACGTGGCTTCCGTGATGGGGGGCCATCTACCCCCTGTGGTGCGGACCCTCTCTGTGGGTCTGGAGTTTTCTGGACAGGCTGGGTACCCTGAAGTGAAGCTTGTGATGTGTGACATGTTGCGTGTCCCTGTGGCTGACCTCTACAGGGTGGAACTGGTCTCTGCGCACAGAGCCATTATCAAGTTTATGGAAGAGGGTGCATACCGTGAGTTTCTCTGCTGCCATGAGGGGTGGTCTTTCCCCCTGCCGGACACTACCGATACTTTGACGATCTCAGATCGTAGTGGAGCCCTAACCTATGTGAGTGTCCATGGCGCGCCCTTGGAGTTTCCTGAGGCCCTGCTGCGGCGTTACTTCAGGCAGTTTTATGCTGTTGTGAGTGTCCGGCTGCACTCCCTTTCCTTGGATAAGTTCGAGGGTTTGAAGACGAACATTCGCACCCTGGGGGATGCGCCTGAGGGCGGACATTCCTTCATCCATCTGGCTCCTGGGGTACTATGTTCGGGTGTACTATACCCGTCAGCCGCACACATGTTTCCGGTGTGACGAGTTGGGGTATCAGGCTGCTGGGTGCTCTGCAGCTGCCATGGCTCCAGTGAATCTGTTCCATGAGGAAGATTTCCCATCACTCCCTGGGGATGGGGATTCGGTGGGTGAAGGTGTGGCGGTTCCGTTAGGTGCTGAGGCCCCCCTCCCTTCGGTCACCCGTCGGGCCTGCTGCTGTTGTCACCTCTTCCCCGGAGGTTGTGCTGCCATTGGTTGATCGTCCTGCTCCTGTTGATGTCCCTGGTGCGCCCGTGCTTCTTCTGTGCCCGGCGTCGCCATCTTAATCCTCTCCTGCTGCTGCACCTGTCGCATTTTCTTCGTCGTGTGTCTCAGCCGTGCTAGAGGAGGGGGAGGATGCGAGGTCTCCTGCTGTGTTGGGCCTGGTTTCCCCCTGTAGTAGAGGCTGCTGCCGTCCTGTGCCTTGCGTTTGTGTGCCCGGCCCATGTTGTCCCGTGTTTCTGACTCTGCCTCTGGTTCAGATGGTGTGCAGCCGATGCCCAAGTGTTCTCGCCGTTCTTCAGCATTGGCCAATGTGGGGGACTTCAGCGACTGTGCGTCTTCCAATGTCGACGGGAGGTTCCGGATGCGTCGCTTTCTCATGCGAGGGTGGTGGCGGAGGTCCATGTGCCTCCAGCTGAGGATGCCCTTGTCTCTGATTTACCGTCTGCTTTCTCTCCAACAGGGAGTTCTCCGCAGTGGGGGTGTGGTTGTTCCTCTTGATGTCGATGATGTGGGTGTTGGCCATGGCATAGTGGTGGTGCTGAGGAAGGATGCCAGCCGTGGAGGAGCCCAGCTGGTGCGCCATCCTGTGGTTGGCGGTGGGCCCGGTGAGGCGCTCGAGGCAGGGCTTGGTGTGTGCTGTGCTACGGTGCCCAGGCCTCGCCCCCTGGGCCGCCCCGTTTACCGCTCATCTTGGTCTTCGGGGAGGCATATGATCAGGATCACCCATTGAAGTTTGACATTATTGACTGGGTGTTCCGTGGAGTTGCCTGACGAGTACCCGGATAAGTATGAATGATCGGTGTAATTGGTGTGTGTTTGTGTTGTGAATTGTTGGCTTGTTTGTCTTTGTTCTGCTTGGTCTTTGCTCTTGTGTGGGTGTGTGTGGTTTGCTTCCTGGTGCCTGCGTGCACGGGGGGAGGGGGGGTCCCTGTGTGTCTGTGTGTGTGGTGTGGGTGTTTCTTCCTGGCTCCTGCATGGAACTGTTCTGGTTTGTGAGTGATGTATTGTACTCTTTATGTGCTTGTTTATCATTTGTTGAGTGCCCTTCGGGCTGCTTGGCTGTCAGTGCCTGTTCATGTTTTGGTTATTTTGTGCTTGTATATGTCCTTTCTTTGTTATGTGCCCTTATGTCATGTTGCTGTGTATTGTGTGTCCGACAGTTTGATTGTCCTACGTGTTATGTCTTGCTATAGGCCCCTCAGGCCGGTGATTTTGTGCGTTGTTTGTTTCGTTTTGTTTTTCTGTCTGTTTTATTGTACTTATGCGCTTGCTTTACATGTAAATATATAAATAAGAAAAAAAGTGAGCCCGACGAGGTAAGGGTTAGTCTGAGTGATAACCTGAGAGTGTGTTTATTGATTAATCGTGCTCATTAATTATATTTTGTGTTGTGATTTTTTGTGCTGTGGTATAAAGCACGCACTGTGAGTGAAGGGTACATTGTTACCTTTGCGTTTGATTTGTCTGCGTGACTAGCAATTGTGTAATCCAATATTATAAATTGAAGAATCAGTGAAACGTTTTCCTTGTTGTGAATAGCTGTCCGTTGAGGCAGTGTAATTAACATAATTAGATGAAGTGACAAATTTTTGTTGACAAGCTATCTTAAGTAATAGTGTTGAGTTAACGTAATTCGTATTGATTAATTAACTGTCCGTGTTACAGTAATTAATGTAATTACTCAATGATTGTTTAATTGCCTTTTGTGCCAGAGTAATTACTGTTGAGAATTATTGTTTAATTGATTAATCTGTCTGTAGTGACAGATTGTAATTAACATAAATTACCTTTGTTGACTGTCTTGATGACAGTAATTAATGTAATTAATTAACATAATTAATAAACGTGTTTGTTTTGATTAAATGGATTGGAAATCAATGGTTCTTGTCTGTGTGATAGAACTGTAATGTAGTTGTTATATTGTTTTCATTGCCGTGGGTAGAGACGTATGTTAACGTAATTGAGTTTGTTTACAGGGGACTGTCTGCGACCAGTCTCGTGGTGTTGCATTGTTTTGTTATTTAATTGTTTTGACTTCAATTAATTTTCAATTGCATCTTAAGTCCACTTGAGCACCAGATGTTCAGTCTTGTATCAAGTTGACCAGCCGAGAGCGGTACGAACAGGAGCTCTACTATACTGGCTTTGATCAGCTGTCATATTTCCACTTAGGATAATTAACGTAATGTTAAATTTGCTGTGCTTTGTATTAGATTTAAGTTTGTTAATAAATGTTATTTGTTGCCGAAAGAAAAGTGTCTTTTTGTCAACATCTTCCAATACTATTGCTCTAACTTAATGCTGCAACAAACTAGACTATTTACTGCATTTAATGAAGGCCTACTTCTGGACTCGAACCTGATTCATAGCCACACACACACCAACACTAATTTGGTGTGAGAACCCAATAGTTACCCTTAACATTGCCCTAAACAATTAGGGAGCTAAACGACCTAGTGGATAGGAATCCAGAGAACTGAACTCCGGCGGCTGCTCTCGCCTTTTATTTTCAGTTTTAAGGTATAATCTCACATCTGACACTTAATGTGTTGGCTTGTGCAGTCCTCTCTGACTGAGCATCACTAGCGAACTAGTTAAATTAGTAATTATCAAATTGAAATTCTCACACTAATCCTTTATTTTCATTGTGTCTGTTGTTATGCCGGTAGTGTTGTTGTTCAGGATATCTCTGGCTATATGTAGAAATTACGTTTTCTGATGTTTTGTGCTTGGTTGTTTGTGCCTTGCTAGGCACTCTGAAAGAAATGTTCTTGTCTTACCAATAAATGGTATCGTTGGGGCTAACAGTTCCCAAGTGATCATGTAAAAGCCTTGAAGACATTTCTCTTTATTTTTTCGAGTTTGGCTTGTTGTCGAGAGAGGCCTTCCTGGACCAGTTGGCAGTCCTCTTACTCCTATAGTAAACTGTCAACTGTATTTTCAGGTTATTGGTGGGTAATGGTCACGTTTGTGTCAGCGATATCCTTCAGGACTCTTTCCTCCGTTTAATGAGCTGTTGAAAAGAGATCTGTGTTGAAGAGTATAATAGGAAGGACAAGTTCTGCTGTGTTAGCCGCTTCATCACAGGTAACATGGACAAGTTCTGCTGTGTTAGCCGCTTCATCACAGGTAACATGGACAAGTTCTGCTGTGTTAGCCGCTTCATCACAGGTAACATGGACAAGTTCTGCTGTGTTAGCCGCTTCATCACAGGTAACATGGACAAGTTCTGCTGTGTTAGCCGCTTCATCACAGGTAACATGCTGGTTTGCATTGATTTTAATGATCTCACCGACACATCCGTTAGAGTATCGTCAAAACCGAGGCGGAATATCCAATTCGCCTCACTTACCGCCCCAACCCTAAATCAACTAGTAACAAATTCTAAATAAAAGCGAATGATATATAAAATATTATTATTAAGGAAGGAAAGAGCCGCGTACCTTGTAGGGTGTGACGCCCCTGGTGGCCATCTCCCACAGCAGGACTCCGTAGCTCCACACATCACTGTGGGTGCTGTACACACTGAACTGAAGACTCTCCGGCGCCATCCACTTCACCGGCAGTACTCCCTGACCCTCTGTTCCATGGTACCACACCCAACCTTAGTACACTCACACAGGCCAAACTGGGACACAGCTATATGCTTTATCAAACATTATGACGAATAAAAATTTGTCAATTCCCACAAAAATAAGAACAAATTAAAGGCATCAACAATATAGAGAGAGACTCGTACCTTTCCTGTAGTAGTCAGACTGAAGATTACGGGAGAGACCAAAGTCGCCAATCTTGAGGGTAAGGTCTTTGTTGAGCATGCAGTTGCGCGCCGCCAGGTCCCGGTGCACAAGCTTGCACGCCGCTAAGTACGCCATCCCGTCCGCAGCCTCCACCGCCATCTCCATCATCTTCTGCAGCAACAGCATCACCACTCGGGCGAGTTAGTGTGTGGGAGAGTGAAGGCAAAGTAGTGTGTGAGGTGTGACAAGTATGGGGCGTGGGGAAACTGTGTGAGGTGTGGGGCAGGAGAGTGAAGAGTGTGGGGGTAGGAGAGTGAAGAGTGTGGGGGTAGGAGAGTGAAGAGTGTGGGGCAGGAGAGTGAAGAGTGTGGGGCAGGAGAGTGAAGAGTGTGGGGCAGGAGAGTGAAGAGTGTGGGGGCAGGAGAGTGAAGAGTGTGGGGCAGGAGAGTGAAGAGTGTGGGGGCAGGAGAGTGAAGAGTGTGGGGCAGGAGAGTGAAGAGTGTGGGGCAGGAGAGTGAAGAGTGTGGGGCAGGAGAGTGAAGAGTGGGGGGCAGGAGATGGCACTTACACTAAACTCTCAAGCCTATTATTTAACAGTTACTGTGTGCAGACATAACAGTTACTGTGTGCAGACATAACAGTTACTCTGTGCAGACATAACAGTTACTGTGTGCAGACATAACAGTTACTGTGTGCAGACATAACAGTTACTCTGTGCAGACATAACAGTTACTGTGTGCAGACATAACAGTTACTCTGTGCAGACATAACAGTTACTCTGTGCAGACATAACAGTTACTGTGTGCAGACATAACAGTTACTCTGTGCAGACATAACAGTTACTGTGTGCAGACATAACAGTTACTGTGTGCAGACATAACAGTTACTCTGTGCAGACATAAATCTGATTACTCGGTTTTTTTTTGGTTTACTGACCGACAATGCCCCACTCAGCAGTCGCTGGAGCTTGGTTGTGCAGTAGAGGTATAAACAAATATGATGTAAACAACATTTTGAAACTATTGTAATTGGTCAGAACACAACAACGGGAATTGTTCCGTTTTGGGGGAAATCTTCAAATTATTAATATATATTTAATTTGTCGATTAATTTAAAACGGGTTGTTCTGAAATATAATTTATTACTTATTAATAATTTAAAGTGGACTGTATGTATGATTTAATATCTCCAGTAAATACCTTCACATAAATCTGGGGATTTATATATTCAGTTAACCGCATTGTAATTAAACGGTTGATTAAATTTAATTAATTTCGCTGAAACTAAATTGTTAGTATATAATAAATTAGTTAGTGATTATAAAAATGTTGTCAGCCATATCTGACTAAATGATTCGGGAGACCATTGGAGCCAGTTGTGTACACGTGGCCACCTCTGCTGCCAGGTGTGTACACGTGGCCGCCTCTGCTGCCAGGTGTGTACACGTGGCCGCCTCTGCTGCCAGGTGTGTACACGTGGCCACCTCTGCTGCCAGGTGTGTACACGTGGCCGCCTCTGCTGCCAGGTGTGTACACGTGGCCACCTCTGCTGCCAGGTGTGTACACGTGGCCGCGTCTGCTGCCAGGTGTGTACACGTGGCCACCTCTGCTGCCAGGTGTGTACACGTGGCCGCGTCTGCTGCCAGGTGTGTACACGTGGCCGCGTCTGCTGCCAGGTGTGTACACGTGGCTGCGTCTGCTGCCAGGTGTGTACACGTGGCCACCTCTGCTGCCAGGTGTGTACACGTGGCCGCGTCTGCTGCCAGGTGTGTACACGTGGCCGCGTCTGCTGCCAGGTGTGTACACGTGGCCGCCTCTGCTGCCAGGTGTGTACACGTGGCCACCTCTGCTGACGTTTTTCACTACAGAAACTTATGAGAAAAGTGTTCTTTTCATACATCTCTTTATTATCAAGACCTTCCATGTAAATAATTTATTTTAGGCCTAATATCAATATTTTTGTCATTATTTTGAACGAGTCATTAATTATGAGAATATTGAAGCAAGTTGCATCATTACTCGCTAACACTTATATGAAAATGTTACGATATTTTCCACTTCTCCACAAAGTATCTTAGAGTTTCTTTGAATCCAACAGAAGAAAAGTATTTTTTGTTTAAATCTCCGAGTTTATTCATTTGTTTATAATTTATTTATTTATTTATATATACAAGAGTTCTTACAATCTTGTACAGCCACCAGCACGCATAGCGTTTCGGGCAGGTCCTTAATCCTAATATTTCTCGGAATATGACCCGCCAAATCGTTTAACAACCAGGTACTCATTTTACTGTTGGGTAAACAGAGGCTACAGTTTAGGATTGACTCCCAGTAAATTCCCTCCAGTCAGAGTACGAACCTAGGATAAAGCGCTCGTGGAACGCCAGGCGAGTGTCTTACCACTACGCCACGGTGACTGGAAACTGTTTACTGGGGTTATGAACTCCCCATGAAGGGGTTCGCCCCGTCGCGGCGAGGGGCTCATGTACGCCTCTCCGAAGCCAGTGGAGCTTGCCTCCGGCCCCCCCCCCCCCGGGTGGTGTAAGGCCTGACATCGTAGCTTGCAAAGGTGATGAGGCCTTTATATTAGACACCCAGGTATCTGCTGATAACTTCCCACTCTCCCGTCCACATCAGAGCAAGTGCGACAAGTACGGCACCCCAGAGATCCTTCAAAAGATCAGGGAATATACCGGGAAGCACACAGCATCCGCCTCTTCAATAACCCATAATTGGAGGAGAGGATGGTGCAAGGAGAGTACGCGTGGTCTACTGGATATGAGACTCACCAAGAGCGACCTTGAGATTTGCTCTGTGAAAGCCCTGACCTGCACATATTCCATCTACAGAATATGGTCCAAGGCCACATCACGGGGCAGACCACCTTAGTCCCAGGATCACCGTGCACAGGGTGCATAAGGGTCAATATAGTCTCGCTTAGGTGAACCGCAGCCAGGAGAGCTGGTAGCCAACTATCTAAGCAGAGTCGTCATCTGGAGTACCACTTCTCCAAATGGTGTCTCACAAGAGGGTGGATGACCTGGCCGGAGCCCACGAGTGGGTAAGACGGCGGCCGGAGGGACCCCCATGCGCATACATGTTATCCCTCCCGCTCCGGGGCCTTGTTAGGAGCTTCCACTGTGAATAATTTTCCATGTATGCCGACGTCAAGTCATCAAACCTGCCGCTTAGGCAGCTTGCTGTTTTGTCCTTCAGCGTTTGTTCTTTTGTAATGATATACTGTGCACCCCTACCTGTGTGTGCAGTGTCCCATATAAGAAAAAAACAAATACAAAAGAATTTTCCATTAATTATGTGTTTGTTTTTCAGGTTATTATTATGTGTTATTAGTATCATCTTAACCCTTGTGGGTTGTGATGAGATCTGCCATTTATGTGTATTTTAGTTTGTGTTTGTTAGGGTATTAGGTATGCTTAGGGGTGCCTTCTCGCCATGCCCTGTGGCTGGGGGGATTGGTGCCCTGAAGCTACATAAACACCCTATACCCCCCGAAGTGGCAAGGGGAGTTAGGGGACAAGTAACTGCAGAAGGCCAATTAGCCCATAAAAGGCAACTTCTATTTATATCCATCCAATCTCATTCATATATATGTCTAACTTACGTTTGAAACAATCAAGGGATCCTACTTCTCTTATGTTACGCGGTAATTCGTCCCACAAATTAACAGCCCTATTACCGAACCAGTATTTACCAAGCTCTTTTCTAAATCTAAACTTATCCTATTTATACCCATTGTTTCGTGTTCTGTCTTGTTTTGATGCTTTTAATACCCCAATGATGACTAGACCACACACTAGAATGTGAAGGGACGACGACGTTTCGGTCCGTTCTGGACCATTCTCAAGTCGATACTTTATCCACGTTATTGTGACTCATCGCCTGAATACCCCAATAAATATCCCCCTTTGTTATATCCATTTATCCACTTGTACACCTCTATCATTTCACCCCTAATTCTTCGCCTTTCTAGGGAATGTAATTTAAGCTTTGTTAATCTTTCTTCATATGAGAGGTTTCTAATTTTGGGAATTAACTTTGTCATCCTACGCTGGACACGATCAAGTGAATTTATATCTATTCTATAGTACGGCGAATAAAACTGAACTGCATAATCTAAATGGGGGCCCATAACAAGAGCAAGATATAGCTGAAGAACAACACCAGGTGTCTTATTACTAATGCTTCAATTAATAAATCCCAGTGTCCTATTTGCCTTATTACGAACATTTATGCACTGATTTTTCGGTTTTAAATTCTTACTAATCATAACTCCCAGATCCCTTTCGCAATCCGACTTCGCAATCTCAACACCATCTAGCTCGTATCTTGTAACTCTATCATCATTACCCAGCCTCAAAACCTTACATTTGTCAGCATTAAACTGCATCTGCCAATCTTTTGAGCATTTCAAAACCCTATTTAGATCGCCTTGAAGCGACAGTGAGTCTTTTTCCGTGTTTATTTCCCTTCTGATTTTTGTATCATCATCACATTTTCAAATGTTGCTTCTCAAACCTGAATCTAAATCATTTATATATATTATGAATAACGGAGGTCCCAGGGCCCTATTTTTAATGGACCTATCCTTTCCCTAAGTTGAGTGCCTTGAGGCACTCAACTTAGAACATTTTCCCACTCTGATTTAGCCCCATTTAACTCTTTGTTTCCTTTGGTATAGCCATGCCCTTATCAAACTTAATATAGCATCCCCAGTATCGTGAGCCTCTAACTTTTTAATCAGTCTTTCTTGTGCTACTATATCAAAAACTTTGCTAAAGTTAAGGTACACAACATCACAAACCTTACCACTATCAACTGCCTCAGTTATGCTGAAATAAAATGATGGCAAATTTGTTAAACATAAACGGCCATTTGTAAATCCAAGTTGTGAATCATTTATTAATTTATATTTTTCAAGATGATGACGAATGGTATTTGTAATTATCGATTCAAGTAAATTTCCTACAATAGACGTTAAGCTAATTGGCCGATAGTTTGACGCAAGTGATTTATCTCCTTTTTTGTAAATTGGCACCACACTAGAAACCTTCCAGGACTCTGGCACTTTGCTTGACTCTAATGATTTATTAAATATGGTAGACAATGGATCTCTTTGCATTCTTTAAGCACCCTGGCAAACACTTCGTCTGG